TGGTGCAGTCGATTTTTGGTAAAAAAGGAAGGTTATACACTGCCTTTTTTTGAGCCCCGAAAAAAAATTGTCTCAGATCGACCCGGAAAAAAATTTTCTTATAGAATGTGGCCTGTAGAATCCATAATTTCAAACAGTTCCAAGATTGGGCTACTAGTTCAAAAATTACAGCCCTTTGAATTTTCTTTCGAAATTGGTTTCTAGTCTATAACTTTTGATTGAGAAGTCTGATCGAAAAAGTACGAATTGTTTTGATTCTACGCACCAAAATTAATAAGAAAAAGTGTTTTCCCGAGAAATTTTGGTGCAGTCGATTTTTGGTAAAAAAGGAAGGTTATAATACACTGCCTTTTTTTGAGGCTCTCAAAAAAATTGTCTCAGATCGACCCGGAAAAAAAATTTTCTTATAGAATGTGGCCTGTAGAATCCATAATTTCAAACAGTTCCTAGATTGGGCTACTAGTTCAAAAGTTACAGCCCTTTGAATTTTCTTTCGAAATTGGTTTCTAGTCTATAACTTTTGATTGAGAAGTATGATCGAAAAAGTACGAATTGTTTTGGATTCTACGCACCAAAATTAATAAGAAAAAGTGTTTTCCCGAGAAATTTTGGAGTAGTCGATTTTTGGTAAAAAAAGGAAGGTTAAGTATTCAAATACTATGCGAAGTATTCGAATACTCCTCAAAGTATTCAAATACCTTGCGAAGTATTCGAATACTAAATATTTGTGAAAGTATTTGAGTTACAAATACAAATACTGCTTCCATAAAAGTATTTAATTACAAAGTATCTGAATACGTACTTTAAAGGATTTGAATACTAAAAGGTATTTACAAAATCGAATACTGCCCAGCTCTGATAATGACTCATGTTAACACTGACAGATTGACATTAGTCAAAGGTTCTATATGAAATACGATGTCGGGTAAAGCAATACTTGAAATGAACATAATACGTTATTATTAAAATAATTGGAAATGTGTAGAAAGCTCCCTACGACTAGGGCACGACCATAAAGCATATTTGCATAGCAGCTAAAATGTACTATCATTCCAAAGTCATTGATATGTATTAATTTTCCGGTAACCTCGATTAATTTGACAAATTTTCTCATAAAAAAGGGAGCTAAAAATGGTTCTCAAAGGGAGAAGGTGCTAATTATCGGCAAAGCAGTTTGGGGCCTCTTTCACAGTTAACTCTGATAAAAGAAAAACACTTTGACCGTATATAAATGTTAAAAGTTGTTCATTGGAGAATTACTGCGAAACCATGCCTTTTTAGGTAAATTACGTTAATAACAAAGTTGAAACCCTTTCTAGCAGATTTTGGCCGAATCGAATGAAATAGTTATTAAAATAAAACTACATAAATTATTTTTTACAATAATTAATGACAAAGTTGTAATTTTTCCCTTCACTTCGTCTCTGCATCTAATAGTGTGGTTATTAAATTCGCATTCTATAAATCATTTTTTAACGTATTATGGTATAATTGCCCCTATCGTTGTAGTAATGTAGAATTTTAATTAGGTGGGTAATTATTACCTATACTTGTGATTTTAATATGAAAATCGGTCCTGATCACGTTTGCAATTTTAGACAATAAAGACAATAATTGTTCTATATCAGTATTACTATCTTTACCCAACGTCCATAGCCACTAAATTCTAACCACACTAACAATTTATTATTTACGGCAAGTAGTCCTTCTGATGCTAGAACCTAAAAAACTATTGGAAAATGTTGCTAGAAAGGGATGCAATTTGGTCAAATGGGAGAAAAGCTGCGCAATCAAAGGTGTAACATCTGACAAATTGTTTGGTTTTTGAAATATTTTGTTAACATTTGACCTAAACCAATATCATATTTCTCCTCAGCAACTTTTAACACTCTTTTTCACGGTGGAATTGTTAATTTTTTAATTCAACGTTTCGTCAATCATGATTAACTTCGATTTTTAAATACGGCCCTGATATTTCGACATCATATTCTTAAAGCCCTTTTTATTCTGAATTCACATTATAGTTTAATCGCTATGACCTTTTTTTCGAGCTTAATTAAGAAAATTCGTATTACAGAAGGGATTAAGTGAAACATCATACCACGTGAAGTTTTTCTTCATTAATTAAGTGCCCTATTTTCAAATTCTGCACTCCTCCTTTTTTTAATTTTTACTTCTACTATTTATATGTGTTTACAAAATCATGTCTTCAAGTGTTAGTGATATACATATCAATATTACTTCCAAAGAAGTAAAAATAAAAAAAGGAGAAGTACAGAATTTGAAAATAGAGCACTTACCCCCCATAAAATTTCTTCCAAGATTTTGACCCGGAAATATGTTATTTTTTTTATTAACAAAAAAACAGGGTTTTGTTTACGTTTTTTCAATATAAGTCAAAAACTAGTACTTTTACACAAAAAATATCTTTATAAGAAGTTGGAGAATAAAATTCTCTACAATTTATGTATGAACTTTTTTTGTAGGTCTAGTACATTCATACGCTCTTACCATCTTACGTACCATACGAGTGATACAAAACAATACATAACCTTAACAATTCGCTAATCTATGAAAATAAATCCCCACAGAACAATAATGCAGAAGTGTTTTGAAAAAAAAATTTGGTGGCATTATGTTACAACCTTAAAAATTTATAAAGAACACAGCAAATTCGTCGAATTGCGCAACTCTATCGTGCTACTCTAATCACTGAATATTGGGAATTGTTTTTCCCTCATCTTAAAACAATCCTTAATGGGTGTGCTGTAATTCTTGAAGTATTTTTTTCTTTTAGAGAATTCGGTATGAGTTGCCCCTTGGCCCCTTTGAATTTAATATCGTGAACCTTTTCCATTTAATAAATTTGAACTTACTTTTGAAGGTGTTTCATTACTTCCACTACACCTAATTAGTGTTGAATTTGAAATTTGGCCAATTATTCACGGGAAATTAAACATATTTCCTTTTCGATGTGTATATTTTCTTCAGATAGGGGATAAAAAATATGCATTGATATTTTCCTCTGCTTCTTATGACGGAGTTGGTAATCAAAGTTATTAATTCATGTCGTATAACATAAAAATTTAGACGAAGTCATAGCTGGAAGTTTTGAATTTCTTGATAATATGAGTAAATGGACAAGTGTCTAAATACAGAATAAATTTTTGCCCATACAGGTAATATGTAATATAATTTCTTTAAAGCGAATACTATTGGTAAAGCTTTCCTGACCCCTGCCAAATGGACCGTACCTATAGTTTATTTCTAACGCTATTAATGATCTTGATATGAATTCAATATAGGTTTTCAACATAATTTAAATGTGAGAAACCAGTCATAGGGAGTTTGGGTTGAATTTTATCAATACCTTGTAGGTGAATTTTGAAATACATGATTCAGGACCGTCCTAATAAATGAGGAGGAAACATTTCAACAACTCCAATTAGTACTTCTTTAGATTTTATATTTCTGTGTATTGAGCTTCTACTTTGGTTACTTAAAAAGCCAATTCCGTCTGTGTATGAGAAAATCTAACTTTTGTACATTGTAATTTTATATTAGAAGTCTTTAGAACTCTCGTAAAGGCAATCATGTATGTCTTGAACTTGATCCGGAATTTATAATTCATTCTTCTGAAACGTATTGGTAAGTTTGTCAAGGTTTTTTTATCGATTTTAAGTTTTTCTAAAATTCTCATCTAATTTTTACCACGTTCCCCTCAATCCCATATCGATTACTTCTTAACAAATAAAATCGTCACTTATTAAAGTGAGATTGAGAGTATTTTCCCATGGGTTTGGTTAAAAAAGTGTCCCTTTAAAGTTTCCGCCTAAGATAATGCCCCTAATCGTACCGCCAAGACAGAGAAAGTATTCTGACACCTTCGCTAAACATATTTTGGCGAAAGTTGGTCAAAGTTAACTTGCACTAAAAACTAAACAGACCTAACGTGATTGCGTGAACTATGCACTTACTAATGCACTAACAAACACACCTAATTTCATAACTAAATTTTGCCAGCAAAATAAATTCTCTTGGTATGTTGTGCTTCCAAAGGTCTGTAGCAAGTTACCGCCCGGGGTGCGAAAGTTCTGATAAACTACCCTCCTTTCCCGGCACGTGAAACATCGCTATATATTTCCAAAAATTCCTAGTTTAGTAAAATACCCAATCCTTTACAACATACATTTTAACCTGAGATTAAAAAAGAATCCGTATTCATATGCCACGTTTATTATCAGCTGATCGCGGATTTATGGGATCTACAAAAAAAATGTTGAAAATTTTCTTCTCTTTATTTTCATATACGAGGATTTTTTTACGTAAAAACGATAGTTATTGACTTATTTTGCAATAAAACACGAAATGGTCTCATCTTTTTTTGATCAAGCTGAAAAAAATATACTCCCACGAAATTTTGGAAGAAATTTATATGGCGTTGTTCATGATGATAAACCGAAGCCATTGACGAAAAAAAATCTTCCCTAGGAACTTTTTCAGCAAAAATAGTTCTGACGCCTGCAGGACTTATGGGAACCGTCGCCACAGTATGTCGAGTAGAACTTGTGCTCTAAATAAAGGAAAACTATCTGGTTTAGTTTTCTCTAATTAGAAGGGTCGGGCGTGAACCTCATGTACATTGTAATGCACCATCAGGTGTTTTATACATGCAAATTTGCAAAAAGCGAATTACGGCTACGTCATGCTAAAAAATCCACTTACTACTCGGTTACATCACTCAAGTGGAATACGATAAGATTTTCAATAAGTAGGTATAATAGATTCATCTGGATTATCAAAGTGATACCTTTTAAGATAACCACGGTTTGCGTGTCAAAAATCTACGTTTCAGAAATATCAACTTCGTATACCTCGACAAAGGAACTTTTGGAAATTATTACCATGAGCTTTGTACCAAGTGTCATCACATATCACACTTTTTTTTACTCTCATATCTATGTAAACATACACAATTTCAGTACGGCCAAAACAATGACCGATGCATGTTTTTTTCGCATTGTACCATCTCCTCGTCGGAAATTTGCGAGCACCTGGCGAATTCGGCCCTAGGTGCATGTAGTTGGCGAAATTTGGCGCGCTAAATTAAAACAATGCCCCAATGTGGACTTTAATCGGTTCACGTTTAGTCGCTATATAAATGACCAACTCTATCTATTCGTACAGATTAACGTATAACATCGCGATATACACACGCTGCGCGTCTTATGTAGTGCGTCCACTACCATAATTAACAATGGAAGTCGTCTTACACGAAGCATCGAACGTGGTGATGTCGAATGGGCACACACGCGAAAGTGACAGTGAGAAAGTTTGTTATAAACCAGTGCAAGAATCCGATTTGGTCCAGACGTTCAGTCGGTTACCCCAAAAAGACTCTGTCGACGTTGCCTTCGAAAATGTCACGTACACTGCATCTCTTGGATTTAGAAAAGGTCAGTGCCCATTGTACCAACAATTATGATGTAACAAATTCCGATCTTCGATGAACGGCATCCTCACGTTCAAAAGAACTGCGCCAAGGTTAGCCGGTTTTTGTATCAGGAACTTTCATCAAAATAAGTAAACCGCGCAAATGAATTTTTTAAAGCGCCTTGAGTTAAGCATGATTTATTTACATACGAATTAGGCACGTTCCTGTTAACATGCAATTTTTCACATCGGTCTAATAACAATAAACCAGAAGTTCTAACAAATTTACATTACAAAGTTCACATGATGCACACTCATCATAGATTAAGGGTACAATGTACAAGTACCTTTTATAGCCTTTGCACTAATTTCAATCGAGAGTACCAATTGTCATTTTATGTTAATAGGAAACAAGGAAATCTTACACGGAATCCATGGACGATTTCCACCGGGGAAGCTCATCGGAATCATGGGACCTTCGGGTGCCGGTAAAAGTACCCTTCTCGACGTTCTGAGCGGGTACCGCATTTCGGGTATCGGCGGTACCGTTTACGCAAATGGACTCGAGAGGAATTTGAACGCGTTCAGGCGACTATCTTGCTATATAACGCAAGATGATCGACTGCAAGAACTGCTGACGGTGCACGAAAACATGATGATCGTTGCCGATTTAAAATTGGGCTCACGCGTCCCGGCGCAGGAAAAGGAAGCTATCGTAAGTAAATGCCCCAAAAATTAGAATTCAAGAAATAGGAAGTGGCGATTCTTGAATCCCGTTTATACTTTATCCTCGCCTATCACAAAGGCAGGTTACCTTGATGCAAGTGCAAAGTGTATAAGATTAAGCACATGCACTTACATATCGTTTTTGAGTATTTATTGACGTCACGTTTTTGCAATAGCAAAATGCATCATTAGAAAAAGCATATATACCAGATATGGGATTCAATTAAGGGACCATAGCCTTTGGTCGTTTTCACAAAGAGGTTGGTGATTGCTTTTGAAATGGGCGTGGTTTAGAGCTATACTTAATAGTGACCCATTATCAAAAATTATTTCAACTGGCTATGCGATGGTAGCGAATTAAACTCTCCAAGGTAAGCCATTGAAAACAATACTAAATGAACTATAAATATTCATGCCGTTTTCATGTTTACTAATGTACTCGCTTTTTTACAATCGTGATTCGTGTTAAAGTAAGTAACTTATTATACAGTAATATGTACGTTTTTATTGCCGATATTTCATGCCGGAGAGGGCAAAGATTAAATACATACAAAGTCTGCGTAAAAAGTTCTTTAAATCGTATATACTTTTGTAATTAGCACCTATCCTGGGTTTCATTTTGAAAGCATAATCTCTGATACCATTTCTCATTTCGTAAAATCTGTGGCAGAGATGGGAATTACCTTAGACCAGTTTCGAGCATTCTGCCGGCTACCCCGAATTAGGTTTTCCTGCAGTTTAGCTCATTCGTAAGGTAAATACCGGAGTAGTTCTGCAGAGGCACCTCTAGAAAGCATTATGCGGGTCACTCTGTAATTGGGCGCCATCCTGTTGAGGGCCCAGAACAAGCGAGGGATAATAAATTTCATATTGTGTTTCCGATCATTTATCTCACCGGAGTCATATTTACATGATTTGTTCTAAGGTAGCTTAGGTCTTTACTTCAGTTATGGCTCACTATCGCAAAATTTGTGGCAACCCACATACCGCAAAGTATATTCAAAAACATAAAAAATGCCAGAAGTTTTTTGACTTGGCCGAGTTTCTATGGACTGCTGGGTTCGCTGCGGCACAGGACGTCGATAGTTACAATCGGTTAGGGAAATTAGGACAATTAGGTGAAGCCTGACAGATGATTTTAAATAAGGCACCACTTAGTTTAGTTTAATCCAAGGTTGTCCAGTCCAAACTCGTGCGTCGACAGAATGGTAAGAAAAACGTCTCCTTAACTTAACCTTGTCCTTACAGTTGAATTAAATTGAGTTTGTACTAGTCTGTTAAACTGGTAACAATTAAAATAGAACTTGAACTAACACTTGAACTGGTCTTTAAACTGGTACCATAAATTAAAACCCTAAAATAAATCAAAGGTAACCTCTCTGTCCGTTCACTAACAATAATACTAAAATATGGATGATGGCAGTTAAAATTCCATGCGTTCTCAACTAACGCCTCAGCTGTTTAATTAAAATAATGTGCACTCTGCTACATCTCACATAAGAAAGAGGAGGAGGAAGACCAAAAAGTACGACGCCGGCAAAATTTGCATGGTTCAAATACCAACGATGGAGCCACTGCTTTCCAAAAGGTACGAGGATCATTCAACAAACTATACCGTGAACAATAATAATGCTTGTAATGAAGCGTTACATGTGTAAATAAATAACTATGAAGCGGGTGAACAATGCTAAATGCTAAACAAAATGAAAATATGGGCAATCTTATCACTCAACATTCGCATCACACACAAGCGATTCACACCATGGTGGTGGGTGATTCTTATCTTGGTAGCGATCGCTCAATTGACACTTGAGAGCAAAAAAAGTCTCGCTGCCGGGGTGACGACGTTGCCGGCGCCGGGCGAAGTGTCGCATCTCGTTTGAAGTATGTCCTGCAACTTTAGGCAAGTCATCCCTCTTCCTCACTAAAATTCAAGTCCGAGCTACTGTCCCTGCAAAGATCTTTTTCGTTAAAATCCTTGCAACCAATATTTTGTTGCACTCTCTCATTTATCCCATGCTTTTGGGTATTCAGTTTTATTACTTCTTGCAAAATATATGCTAACTTTAGTCCTTCCTTTCTGTTAAAGGGAAAAATGCACTTCACTTATATTTTTGTGCTATTTTCCAAAAATTACTGATTTCCCTAATATTTCAACACTCTTTTACTTTTTACGTAAATAGCTTGCTTGGAAAGTTATAAGCTGAAAACCTTTCAAAAACATTCTTTGTATTAGTTTTTTGATTATTTCTCATAGTTGCGGCAACAAAGTTTGTTCGACACCTTCAGATTCGTGTTCAGCAAACCAAAAACCATACAATAAACCACTAAAAACAATTCCTACAAAACCTTTCACTTCCTACTCCCGTTTGACTGATGGACTACCAAGGGAAGTGGATACAAAAAGGGTAAAACGAGTAAATAACTTATGATCCTAAAACAATCAATCTTTCTTTAACTCTGACAATAATTTTTGTAATTAAAATTCACGTCATTTAAATCCTATTTAATATATTTTTTTAATATGTGTGTTATGTGTCTTAATTAGTATCTAATTAACAATCCATTAATTACCAGTAGGTAATAAAATATGACAAAAAACAAGAACGCTTACGGTTCCTGTCGATATTTCTGGTTCCGCATGACATTTTTACAATTTCCAATCCAATTAGATTGCGCTAGATTTATCTACTTGATGGAAATTTTGTTATATGAAAAATGTGTCGCTGTTTTTTTGAAACTCATGGGGTAATGTTCTCGAATTTTTTAATACGTTGCAGAAGTGCGTTTCCTGAAGCTATACAGTATCTTCCAACTGATAAACTCAAATTTATTCTTGAATTAACGTAACATTATGTCCTTCTGTTTTGTTATTTTCTTTATGTATGTTAGTTGTTTTGTAAAGTATAAATTACACTGTACACTAGTATACTATTTTTACTTTGTCCTATAATTGGGCGATAAGCCTGTAGGATAATAAATAAATAAATAAGTAAAGAAATAAATAAATAAATTACTGCTAACATGGTCACTGTCAAATGTCCAATGCCGATTAAATTAGGGTTGCAATAATCAATGCAAAAAACAATTCAGCATAGGATAGCGGTTCTGAACCTTTTTGAGTAATGTACCACAAAATCTTTTTTATTATTTTAAGTAAAAAGTAAAAAGTAGAAAAAAATAAAATAAAATAAATAGATGCTTTTTGGGTGCCCGAAATCGACTACCCCTTGAAGAAGCGCGCTTTGTAAAGGGTGATTAATTTCGTCCCTAACAAAAAACAACGCAGGAGTTGTGCGTGTTTACAAGATCTTTGCGACGACATCAAATTGAAAACAATCGGACCAAAACTATAGAACAGTGTTTCTCAACCTTTTTTCACCGATGGCCTACTTGTGAATGTTATTTATCTCTCTCCGCGTTAGCCCGGTGGAGTCCGGGGGGAGGTATGAAATTCCAGGAGAGGGGGGGGGGGGTTAATACCACGGGAAATTTTTTGAAATTTTAGTAGCTTTATACCTACGAGTTTTTAGACTCATTTTCGTCTTTCGCAGACTCCACAAAAATGTATAGAATATACGCCATTAAATGTGGCATTTCCATATTTCAAACACTTTAGAATTAGATCAAAATTAATTTGAGTTATTTTGTAGTTATCAAGAAAACATTTTCAAGCTCATATTGTTTTGACGCTGAAATTTTTTTCAAAAATGCGTCTTAGGTTGTAGAAAAACTAATCTTTACAGAAAAATAATTCTTGTAAGCGATAGAGGAGTGTTAGTCGTGTTAGAAAAAAATAACAACATTTTTCGGTATCGCGTCAATCAATTGCATTGTGTTTTTGCCATTTACAAACATTTAAATTTAAAGTTGTGATTAGGATTTATTGCTTTCTAGGAAAGGTACACTGAGATAACATAAACAGGGATAAGGGTTTATTGTGGTATAATTTTTGTACCGGCCATTTTGGGTAAATTTCAATATTTCAGTAAGATATTGTAGAACAGAATTTTCATGGACCACTGAAAAGGTGGCCTACCAATATTCTTTCGTTCGTGATCCCCAAAAAATACGTCATGGCGCCCGTTGAGAAACACTGCTGTAGAACACGATGGGCAAAAATCTGAAAAATCAGTACGTTACTATAACACATCCGGGGATGGCGCCCAGATGTCGCCGACCTCACATCATGTAGCCCCGATGTTACGATAGGCACATGGAGCATGTTTGGACAGAGGGCACTGCACACCGTGGAAGAAATACCTTCAACTGATGCGAAGTTTCCCAAACGAAAGGGTTAGAAAAGAAAAATGATTTGCGATAGTACCTGATGCATTCCCACAACATTTCCTTGTTCTCCAGTGCTCAGTAAAATAGAGTTCGGTATTCTCAAAAACAACGATTAAATGATTAAATCGAATTGTTTGTGTAGAATTGAATGACCATTTTTGTTGGTTGAAAGTATTGATTGTAGATCGACCCCTCCATTGCTATCTCTATAACATTAAATAACAAACAATCCCAAGTGGTATTGAGAACGTAAAGCAAAATTATATACCGAAATGAAGGTTTGCCAACTGTTTTAAGAAAGTGTTGGAGCGAACGTAAGTAACGCATTACTGACCTACATTCACAAAAACGGAAATTTCTCTATCAACATCTGTTGTTAGATTCGAAATCCCGAGTTAATTGAATTGCATAAGTGAAAACTACAAACGGACCTTCGGCTTCTTACGTCAGGCTACAATCTAATGTTTACATTTTGATAATTACCCAATATTGTGACGTTTAGCTTAGGTGTAGTCAAAGTCCAGAAAAACATAGTGGGTTTGAATATTAATTGATTTATCTTAATGTCGACTAATGACACGCCCTGGTTTTTTCAAGGTTGTGCGTAACCTTACCACCAAGAATCTTGCCGGGGATAACGAAGATATTTGGAAGCGCAAGTGGTGAAAAACTTGTATAGTATTGCACAGTTTTAATTACGTCGACGAACTTTTCACTGAGATAACACGCGGTATCGGGCTATTTACTATACCGTAAATCAAGTAAACGACCTTTGAGAATAACGCACTCTTCATACGAAACGAGCAAAAAACTGACAGCCCCAAAAATTGTATCCGCTGCATCTCCACCGGAATTGACTTTGTTATTCTAAAGCTTTGTTATTGTAAAGTTCTTATCACAATTGACTGTTATGAAAACAATTGGGGCATGCATTTTTTACGTTTGCAGATACGGGAGATTTTGGAAACTTTGGGTTTGGAGGAGACGGCCGAAACGAGGGCCGGTAGACTTTCCGGTGGTCAGAAAAAAAGGCTCTCAATAGCGTTGGAATTGATCGATAATCCAGTCGTGATGTTTCTTGATGAGCCGACAACGTGAGTACATCAGCGTTACACGTGTATTTTCAAAATTATTAATTCAGCAATTGATAACGAATACGTCAGCAGCGACCTACTATCAAGAGTCAAAGTGTTTTTAAATGTGTGTGTGTTTTTTTTAATATTTCAGAGGTTTGGATAGTTCATCTTGTAGCCAGTGCGTAAGGTTACTGCGTGAATTGGCAAGACAAGGAAGGACGATCGTTTGTACCATTCATCAGCCGTCAGCGACGCTGTTCCAACTCTTTGACTTGGTCTACGTACTATCCGATGGAAATTGCCTGTACCAGGGCAGCACAGAAAATCTGATACCGTTTCTGGAAGCTGTGAATCTGCCATGTCCGCAGTATCACAATCCTGCCGATTTTGGTGAGTGTGATGCTAAATCCAACAAGATATAACCCAAAGGTTATCAGCAGCGATAACGGTTATCGCATTCTAATTTTGTAATGGCACATTATGCTTCCTATTTTTGTTTACATCAACACAATTTTCGTGTACCACAACAGGAAAATTAAGACTGCATCTCATTTCTTACAACAAAGTTATCACCTTCACCTGGATCTTTCATCAAAATGGGTGTTATGCCCGAGCCCCTTATTTTTATGTGTATTGACCTTGTAAATCTATTATTATTTCCTGGTTTGTCGCCCTTTTCAACCAGTGTTAAATCATAATCTGATACTATTTAGAGATTGTAGCAACTGGAGTTAAGGGGAACTAAAAAAGCTCCTTAAAAGAAAATCTGGAAATATTTCCAATTCTAAAACCTTTATATAGACTCAGAAAACCCGTCCCCGAACCCGAACATTCATACTGAGGTTCTCAGAGTTTTTAAAAAGCTGCTGCAAAAATATTCTTTATAAGATTCTTACCGACGAACTCCTGAAACTTTTAAACAATTTCTGAAGAATAAAATTGAAGCTTTTGTATGAGCCAACAAAAATGTTGTAAAGTAAGTTTTTATTGAAATTTTGAGAAATAGTAATACTACGACTTTCTAGGAGAGACTTAAATGTGTATGGTTTTACAAAAAAGATTTCTAGAGTTCTTGAAGAATATTTGTTCAATCTCTAAAATCCAAATTTACACATCTCAAATAACGATCTTTTTTGCACTTAATCTGTAACGACCGTTTTCGAATATCTCAAAATTGTTTGATTCGATGTTACGCAAATTTGGACACTTTGAAAAAGGATTCAAATTTTTGGGACTTGGAACTTTACTAAAATGAAGAAATTTGTGTGATTTTAAATCTTTACAAATTTTAGAATTCGAGTATAAGCCAAGTGACAGCGAAAAATACTGAATATTAAAAAAATAATTTATTTATAAAATTGAAAACTTGCTTAACAAATTGCAAGCATAA